GTCATTGGGACTCCAGAAAGATGCAAAATCTTCCTGTCACACAGAGCTATTCCTCTTACATAAATACTGAGGAAAGTAATTGCTGAACAGCTAATGGGAAGGTAAAGGGATATTTACCAAAAGTCATAGATGATCTTCCCTTGCCATACTACTGAATCGTCCAAACAAAGCAAACACAATATATTGCAGTCTTGTGGTTAATAATGAAGATGCAGTGTGTTTTGAACCTTGTTAAGAGGAGGACAACTACGTACATGTAATTAATTTACACTGAAACCTTACGTTCAAAAGCCCTACTGTTGTTCTTAGAAAAAAACCAGCACTGATGTATTCTGAACTCTTTTTTTTTTTTTTAGTTAAAAATTGCCTGTAGAAACTTATGGTAACATCGCTACTTCAAAAAAAACAGCACTGATGTTTTCTGAACTCTTTTTTTTTTTTTTTTAGTTAAAAATTCCCTGTAGAAACTTATGGTAACATCGCTACTTGTTATTCGGTACAGCAGATTTAAATTATAAGTCAGAGTGATAAAACATTTTCAAGTTCAAGCACTGCAGACAGTAGCAAAATTTGTGCCCCCTTCTTTGAATTGAACATGACTCAACTTTAAAAAACACATCTAATCAATCAAATGAGCCGCCAATGCAAAATACAGTGGATTATTTTCTATTTCACTATCATTTGCTAACTCATGATGTTATGATTCAGTGATCTCCCGTTAGATGTCAAGTCTTCATAATGTTGAAATTTCACAATTTTAACAGTTCTTCATTATTGTTGTACAATGCTTTCGTACTGTAATGTTCAAATTAATTTTCTGCAAAATCAATTGTATTTATGGAATTGTTACTTAGAGGTAAGAATACTTCTTAAAGATTTAAGGCAATAATGACTCATACTTTGTTTTCAAATGGATATCACCACTGAAATTGTACTTAAAAAAAAGAGATATCATTAAAAAATTGGCAAACTACCTCCTGAGAACTTAAAGAAAATGAATTATATTAGCTAAAAGTCTTAAAATTATTCAATTACATTGCCATCTGGAAATAAATTTAATGAACTATGACATTTTGTTGTTCATTATTTTATATTTGAAAAGCATTTGCAAATACTTCTTATTCCCATTTGTCACTAGGGTTGTACAGAAGTCCACGTATTGGTGGAGATTATTAGAGTTTACCTACATTTAAGTACTTTGTCAGTCATACTGAAACACATAACTAAATATTGCAATAAAAATGAATGGATACATCACTTAGAATTCAAATGGAGGTAAGGAATCCTCTATATTCATTAAAGAATCTAAATGTTTTGATTCCAGTATTCATAGAAGGTCTAATGCTGAGTGTCTCTGTCTTAAACGGCAAACACACCATAATGTCAGTGATGTAATGAATTTGCTAAGGTTAGATTTACCAGTAATACTTCAGAGCAGAGCAAAGCAGCTGATGCAGCTTAATTTAGATCAACTGAGTCACAGTTAAATGCATTGGATTTAGGATTTCAGAATACTGTCCCTGGATATAAATTTCCACAGGAAGACATGGAACATCCTGTAGATGGAATATCCACATCTAGACAGACTGGTTAAATCCTGGTTAAATGCCCAGGCAGTAGGTGGTCAACTCAATTTACACTACCTGAATTTATTGAAGACTATGCAGTTTCCAATTTGGAAAGCTACTGAAATGTTGAGTATCAGCCTCAATTACTTCACATCACCAGAACATCAGTTCTGGTATGTTCAGATAACTGATAACTTCATTAGTTGCTCTTGTTTATAAATTATGTTTCAATATGGAAAACACACCTGCTATCTTTGTAAAAGGAACAACTTAAAACTGAGTTCTTTCCTTCTTTCTGTTTCAAAATTGAGACAACTGGTGGAAAGAGTGTACACTATAGACAATCTCAGCACAGCCTCTATAACACAGTACAGGTCTTAGGAGCCTACTTGATGGATTTCAGTCCATGCTAATGCTTCACCAAGAGAGAAAAAATGTGGGGAATATTTTTCTTCCCTCTAAGAGTGTAAAATACAGTAAGATTCTGAAAAGAAAACTAGAAATAAGAGTTGCAGGCTCTGCTTTACCAGAGGTTGGACTGCTCAGCTGAGTGCACTTCCAGTTACAGCCATAAACCCTGACAAGAGGAGGCAAACCAAAAAGTCATCAACAGCACTGAATCCTGAGAGCTGAAAAGTAGGCTGAGGAGAGCTGACAGCTCTACGAATGAGAGTTATATTGTGCCCTGATTTTCCTCAGAGAATTAAGAGCCGATCTACTTCCTAAAACTCCAAAGACTAGAGCTGGAACAGTTTATTTCTGCCTTCTAATATGAAGGGTTTATTATTCCTTCACATTTGTTATCATAAATGATACAAGACAGAAGGCTTGATCAGAGTCTGAGAACATGATCAAGAATCCGACAGTATGTGGCTACATCAAAGAAACTGCACAGCACCCCACAGACTATACCACAGGGCTCCATCTGCACACTCAGCTGTCAGGTCAGGATTTTAGAACAAAATCCCACCATTTAAACTAGCTTATACCTGTGATGTAAGATCAAAATCTGAGGACAAAGCATGGGCCATTTGTTTGCTTTCATTTTTATTACTATGTTTTACATTGCCAGCAAGCACTTTTTGCTTACTCTAAACATAAATTGTTTTTTTTTCTCTTCGTGACAAAGATTGTTCTGATCACTGAATTATGGTGAAGACTTTTAGCTGGAGTTCTGGATGAGAATCATAGGAAGAAAGAAGTAAAAGTGATCAAAGCATGGGAATTTCTTTCTGCATTTTTCTTAAATATAAGAGTATAATATACCAGAAGTCACAGTTGCAATCTGCATGAGCAACTGTATGAAGTTATTTTTTTGAACCAACACTGATAATGACACATGCCACTCTCAAGAGTTCTTCTGTTCATCTAAATGGATCCCTATGTACCACTGCGAGTACATATTCAAAGTTAGTTTGGCTTGGATGGTACACTTCCCCAAAATCCTTCAGATCCATTTCAATTTGTCTCTTGAAAAACTTCTCATAAGAATATAATCTTCTTCCAAACAAAATAACAAATTCCTTAAAATATACTGCCATGTTTCTGTTGTGCATTTTTTTAGTATCTTGAGGTTGGCATTTGAACATACATGTTTGTGGCTACATATACTTCAGGAAATTATCAGAGAAGTTGAAATAAATTTGATGCAGGTTTATAAATTCACTTTCTACTCTTCTCAGGTTTTTTATGCATAGTTCAATTATCGCTTCATATGAAAAAAATTTTCAAAAGGCACAGCTGGCTTCTGATGTCCACTAACTTGCAGTGGGAGCTAAAAAACAGACATCAATAGGCTCCGTCTCACTTTTCTGTTTTAATTTTGTTTGCTTCCCTTGCTTCTTCTTCTCCCTGACTTTCCCTTGGTGCATTACGAAAAAGAACAAACGAAATGCTGAGAAAATAGTGAAAATTAAAATCACACCATCATTCAGTTTTCACCTCCAGACTCTCCCCAGCTTCTTTGGTTTATCTCCGTGTACTGTGATAGATCTTGAGATGAGATTTTCTCTCCCTTCTTGGAACATGACTGTCGCTAATTCTACAGCAAAACTGCATAAATCTACTGCAAGTTGTTAGTTCCAAAGAAATTAAGTGGTTATTTCAACTCTGATTTCACCTTTGTATTCTTTATATCAGCCTTGTATTCCTTATATCAGTTATTTGCCTTTTTCCTGAAAAAATGTCATGACTTCTCTGAGGAGAGTAAGTAATTGAATCCTATGCATGATATTCATGCATACATGTACTATTCACTGTAGTAGTCACTAAGAGTTCAGCTATGATCATGATCAGCATGGATGCTAAACTATTAAACAGGCTCCTGTTCATAAAATGTTTTTTATTCAATTACATTTAAATTGCTACAAAAAGGAATAAACATGGTTCAGTGATGCAAAAATCACAGGAGTTCTCAGAGCTGTTATTTTCTTTGTCTGATTTTTACACTTCACATAATGGTACCCTCAGATCTCATAACTAACCTGTCATACTTTGAATTATTACTTATTCTCAACTTTATTATCACATCAGATATATTACTATTCCTTCTCCTTGAATTTAGGACCGAATGATAACACTAAATTGAAACGTCATTGTACCACAGCTAGCACAATGATTACAGAAAATCACATCTGCTTCAAAGTTCATAGAGCATATAAAGTGAGAAGGAAAAATTATGCGTCAGAGACACTTTTCTGGTCATTTGTACATGTCTTTCCCTTCTCATTATTCAATGTCTTAGGCACCGTATGAAAGAATGGTAATTAGTTTATTCTAAGGTGTTATATGACTGGGATATATACTATATGCACAGATTTCTAAACTAAACCCTTGTCACATATTTCATACTGATATCATACAAATGTTTATATACGTGTATATATATACATATATCTATGTAAATGTATGTCTGTGTGTACACTATACATTAAAGTATGTTAGCTCATATTTTGCTAATAAAATGAGAAGAAAAGATATATTTTTATGGTCACAAAATGAAATAGTAACCAAGCCCCTTTATTTATACGACCCCATGGAACTTTGGAACCCAACCTTGTTTCGCAAACTGAAGACTGTCAGCTCAATCTGGTACAATGTGGTCGGAAAACCCAAACCTTACTGAGTAGCAGTGTCACCTCAGTCAGGTTTAAACCCACATCTTTTAACTACAAATTGCTTGGTATCAGTCAATATTTATAGAACTGAAAAATAATATAAATTCATGAACAAGCACATAAACAACACTAATGCTTATAATGGATCGTATTCCATGTCTGATTGTATGAACATATGGCATTTTATTTGGATGTATATATTGCAAAGATATATTTTAAACACATTTAAGAACACCAGCAAAAGAGATTTGCTCTCACTTCTTTTATATATTTTTACAGAAAACAGAATTGTTCTGAATATACTTTTAGTACTTACCATTGTGTTGTATTTCTGAGAAGGCTTCAGAATTTCCCCATACGAGGCAGCATGATGTCATTTCAGTTACAGTGGAAGTTTTTCCTGTTAGGAGGAAATATATAGTGCTCTTTGGTAAATAAAGAAAAAAATGCATGCTTGTGAGTCACAAATGGTGAAAAAAAAAAGTTATTTATTAAATCACTTGTAATTCTGTTTTTCAAAATTAGAAAAAAGAAAAATAATAATATTGATACCCAGAGAATAAATACATTGATCATAATCTATTGATTTCTGTCTTAGGAATTATTAGCAATATTTTTTCTTTGCAGAGTGATCACTGCTACAAAAATATAATTGTTTTTAAAGCTATATACCACAACAGTATACATTTTGGGGGGAAAAAAAAGGCTAAGGCAAGCACTTCAAAATAATAATTAAAAAAGATCTCCATAAAACCCTGAGTTTTGCATTATTAATTTATAAAATATTTCTGTAGACATATGTCATATGTATCCAAATCTAAAAATATAAAAATTCAAATATTGAAAAATATTAATATTTTTTAAAAGCTATTTGACTATTATTTATTCTTTCGTATGGCTAATTCAAAACTGTAGCTTATACTTCAAATGGCATTTCAATGGATAGACTATTTACCAATAATATCCATTTTAGATAGACTATTTAGACAAACTAATACAGCTGATACCAACAGTGTTCTCTGTCAGGAATATCTTGAGACACTGTAATTTAAAACTCAAACCTTAATAGTGTTAAGAAAGCTATTTCAGGCAATTTGCATACATTATTTCAGGTAATTTGCGTAGGTTCCAAGGCTCTATTAGCTGAAATACTTCTCTTCCCTCAAAGGCCAGCAGAGTTGATTTTGTCATTTATAGCTGCACACATTTTGAAGGGGTAATTCATTCATTACTTGTTTGGTTTTTTTTTCTGTAACTCTCTTAAAGTACCAAGACAATTCATAAAATTTTCTCTTTTTTTTTTTCATTAAATTATCAACACAGAGAAGCACTTTGCATGAAAAATACCATTTCTAAATAGACCACAGGAGCAAGAGTGATGCCATAAAGTATTCCTCTTAGCTTGGTAATATGTCAAGCAAACTTATCATTTCTGAAAATTCACACAATGCATTTGGCTGCAGTATAGTGCCTATTAACACTGTAGAAACACTTCTGCAATAAGATGACAAATATATTCCACAAACTTACATGGGTTTCAGGGTCCACCTGCATATTATTCATCAGTAGGAAGAGATATGACTTCCAGACAACTGGTAAAGTATGGACTATCATCACAAGTAATATATCTATTTACACACATATAACTATATATACACATGCAAACAAACACATTCTTTCTAAGTATGTGTGTGTATGTATTTATACAGTAAGTTAAGAAATAAATTAGTTTTTAGCAATAAGGAGCCTAAGGATTATAGCACTGAGTTTCCATCTTGAATTTCAGAAAATTTTCTCATAGCATTTAAAGAAAAAACCAGCAGATTTTAGACTTCACTTTTGACCAAAATCAGTGGTGTAAATTAAATCAGGCTTTAACACTTACTTGCTACTGGCAGATTCTGCAGCCTTAATCACACTGAATAACTTTTTCTCATTAATGGTTTTGCCTCACTACAGCCAAACCACTCCCTGTAAGTGCAATTCATTTTAACAGCTGCAAACACAGGCCTCGATTCCATGTAAAGAAGCCGATTATCTTTAAAAACTGGAAATAAATACCAGTGGATGAATATCTGAATATATGTCTGAAAGGGAGAAATTTAGGAAAACGGAAGCAAAGCAAAATTCCTTATGAATAAGCAATGTGTGAAACATTCTAGCTAAACTGTGAAAGTGTCCATCTGGACACTTGCTGCAGGGGAAGCCTGGCAACACTGCAATTTTTCATACACACCCATTGAGGAATCAGAAGTTGAAGTTTAGGGCAATCTTTATTCCAAGCTACGGTAATGTCTTAAATCTCTCCACATTACAGTGGCACTTTTACTGGAGATTTCACTGCTCACGTTGACTTTGACAGCCATTCCAATTCTCCAATAGTAGTAGGTGATTAAACCTAGGATATAAGAAATAAGGAAGGATTTAAGGAATGGCTGGACAGTGAAAATCTACTAAGGCTGAAAGAGCTTCGCTTCTCAGTTATTTTAAACTTGCATTTCTTTATTTCAGTAGCCTTTATAGTTTAATTCCTGCTACTACTTGCATTGGCTTTGCTAGTAAACGTGGGAATTGCATTCACTGTATTTCCATAGCACCTAAATAGTCTTCAGCTTTGAAGCATAAAAATGAATGGCGGAAGTGCTACTTGTGAACTAGGTTTTCCAGGTTTATCTTTGTACCTAGGTGTTTATCCTTTTCACTTTTAGTTTATCTTACAGATCTTATAATTCTCCTTGCTAGAGTGATTTTAATCGTAGATGAATAGATTGTAGTTTAGACTTTACATATTCTAGTAAACCACAGTGTTCTCTTGTCCATTTACAGGTTATGTTTAGACTTTGTCTCTGTAACAGGTAATTGCTCTCAAAAAAACAACTGCAAACACTGCACTCTGTATTTGTATATGCTTCTGGGGGCAAGCATGGGCACACGTTAAAAGACTAGTAGTCAAATTCTAAGAAAAAATATAGACTCCATGTAGATATATATGTTGGTTTGTTTTAAACAAGATTAACTGCTCTCTCCAGCCATCCCAAAAAATTCTGACAGCTCTTGTCAATACCCAGATGTAAGCTAAAAATATTTGTTTATTATTTGATGCTCAGTTTTAGTCATCACAATGACTGGACTACTGTGATTTACTTCAGTTTGAGCAGACAGGTTCGTGAAGTCTCCCTGAGAAAATGTACTATTTAAAATGCAGTCTAGCATCTTTAAATACATCTCTAAATTTGTATCATTTTTTTCCCATTATTTCAGTTTCATATCAAGTACATACTTTTGAACGTCTTGATAATAAGGTCTCCCCATAGTTAAATTCAAGAATTTCATCTGTAGTGACACATTTTATAGCGATTAAATTTTCAAAATTTTTGAACTACAAATAGAAAATCACTGACTAAACAATGGGTAAATGCATCTGGGCAATTCTGTGATGCTATCCCAGTATCAATAGCCCAGAAATCACAATATCAGATAAGCAGATGATGCTATTTCAACTGTTTATTGCCTGCACAGTTTGGGAATAAGAGGGTGTTCAAAAGAAAAGCCAGCTAGAGGTAGATCTCACAGCAGGAAAAGGACACAGACCAGCTAGAGGCGTATCTGAGATATGCAAATGAAATCAGCTTTTTCCTTAATTAGGCATTTGAAAGCTAAATAAGTAAATCTGACCTCAGGCTTCCTTTGTATTTAGTGAGAAAAAATAGGCATCCCAAATGGTAGAAGTCTTATTTATCTCTATGAGTCAAAGAGTGTGGGCTTTAAGTAAGAAAACAACCAACCTACTCCTCGCGTATACCAACTGAAGCAATATTGACAAACAGATATCTCAGAAATGAGTAATGATGTCTTTTTTTTCTTTAGTTAAAACAAGTGTAAGTAAGAATCAAATAATTCAAAGTGAATCAAATAATGTAAAGTGAAATGTAATAATGCAGTGAAATGTAATAATGTGGTGAAATGTAACTTCTCCTTTGCTAAACGTGCAGTAACTCTTTTTGCCTAGAGAGAGGAAATTCACCAGCAAGAAAAAGCTCCCATTTTGGATACCCATTTTTCAACTTTCATCAAAATCAGCACACCGGAACAAGAAATGAAGCCACTCATGCACACACTCCCTCTTAAATGAATACATTCCAAGTTGTATTGCTTGTCTTCAAGCAGATCAGAGAGATGTGGCGGAACCTGTTTTGTTTCTTTCTCCCTTGGACATAGTAGCTTCCTCACAATTCTCTGCTCATCTTTCTGCTTTAAATAATTAAATCTATGAACCTAACTGTGCCTCTGGTCTTGATCCCTGCCTGTCCCATAAGAATCCCCTTGAGGTAGCATACTCTGAGAAAGCAGGAAAAAGAGACTGACACTTTTCTAAAGTCAAAGGTAAAGGACTGTACTCTCAGCCACAAGCAACCAGAATATCCCACAGAACATCTGGGTAGATTCAGACAGAAATGACAAAAAAAAGAATCTGTATGATTCTGTGGCAAGGTCTATAACGGCAAGAAAAATCCTAGCAGAGACCAGAGTTGAACAGAGAAAGCAGGCAGAACACCCTAACATAAACAACAGCCAGACTTTTTTTTTTAGAGAAAATGGGCTGCTACCAAATATGCAACTGCTAACACAGAAGTGGAAAGGCTGCTGTTTGTAGGTGCAATGGCAACTAGAAACAAGTGATGTGAATTTGCAGAGGTCCCTATTTTTTCCAAAAAGTACTAACATTTCTTGAAAAATCTTCTTGTCTTCAAAAGTATTTAGATATGAATCTTTGCTAATAAGACAGGTTCATTTCTCATGAGGGGTACATCAGTATCACCATGAACTACCTACCAAAACAAAGATATCATGTGATACAGCAGATAAACAGATTAAAAACTCATCAGAAGAATGAATGAAGGCAAATATTTGAATAGCACAGAATAGCATATAATACACTTTTCATTAAAAAATTTGAGGATTTTTGCAACACCAACAAATGGAAACCTAAAGGATGAAAGGACAACAATATCAGTACAATGAGGTTCCAAACAAACATAATAATTAATAAAACAGGTCAGAACCTGAAAAGATGCAGAAAAAAAATTTGCTGAAGGGGGGAAAAAAGAAAACCAACAACAACAACAAAAAACCCACGAACCCAAAAAAAACCCAAACACAAAATACAAAAAGCAGGCTGAAAACAAAGATGTTTGAATCAAAACAAAACAAAAGAAATCTTCTGAAGAATTTGCAAACTGCTATGAGAAGGCAGGAGGAATTAAACTCATGTACCCTGGGCCCAAAACAGCAACACACATAAGAGAAATGCTGATGATGCAGAAGGATTTGCCGTGTTAAGAAATTCTGAATGGTAAATGGAACGATAAATCCCCTTAGGGGAACTCCAGGCCAGAAAGT